TGAATTCAAATGTTTCCAACCAAAAATTTTCAGCAACCAAGTTATGAACAAAATCAACTCACGGAAATGGCACAAAAGTTTAAAAACACTTTGTATCAAAGGAAACCTAAAATCTAAGAAAACTACTAATGATCTAATAGTAGTTTATGAACTCAAATCAAAACCAAAATTAGGGAGCACAACTATACCAAATGGATTCGGCCAAGTCCAGAATTTTTTTAAAACAAATGAATCAAAAATAGAACAACAAGCATAGCTAGGAATTAAGAACATGCAAAGAGCTACACATGACACTAGACATGGATTCAAAAATTTTAAAGACTCAAACACATATGACCGAAAATTTTAAATCAAGACTCAAGAAAAAATAAAAGCACATAAGCTGAAATTTCCTAGAAGCACAATTTGTAGAGCATGATTCATGGAAAACAATAAATCAAGAAGCATGTATGAATCATTCAAGCAATCCGAAAGGCAAGATCCATCAAATTTTAGGCACAATTTAGATCTAGGAAAGAATCAACTCAAAAGTGACAATGACATAAAATTTTCAAACGGATCACACAATCAAACAAAAGATAAGACACTTATCTCTTGTAGCCGAGCTCTAGATACCACTTAATGAGGTTCTTCTTGAAGAAAACCTCAAAGGATGCTTCATGAAACCTCTTCTCGGATCCTTGGAAGAATTGCAAGGACTTGAAGCACTAAGAAGAGGCAAGTGTAGCAAAGGTTCACCTAGCTATCTCGGATAGAAGGTGAAGGTACCTATCTCTACAAGGAGAAGATCTCAAGTAGGGTAGATAAAGATTTAGGGATACTTTCGGAGGAGAGAACTATCAAAGAGTAAATTCTCATTCAATAATCCAAAAGTACTACAAGTCTCGGCTAAGAGTGAATTTATAGGGAAAATTAGGGTAAGGTGAACGTTGGCTTAACCTAAGTTTAAGTTAAACCATGGTATGGTTATGGTTTAACTAACCTTAGGCGCCAAAATTTGAATTCAAATATTCAAATATTGGTGCCAACCGGTCATCTCCCCATGTGCACTCTTATTTGAATGTGATTTGGTATCCATTTGAGTTGCATTTCGGTCACACCATGTGCATGTGTGCACATGGCCGAAATGCATACTAAATTTTATACTAATCACATGCAAATGAACATGCACATGCTAACCTAAATTAACCCTAAATTCACATTGCCATGAAATGTAAATTCCTAATCTAGGTGGCCGAAATACAAGGCCTAAAAAATGCAATACAAGCCCAAAGGCTCAAACCTACACTACTCCTAATCTACTTGGGCTTGAGTCAAAGCCCAACTGAAAAGTGTAATGGGCTTCTCTTGAGCATGGGCCCATTCTTCATGTATCTTCTTGGCCATAGCCCTAGTAGTTGGGCCCTTGGCCCACGGGCCTCCTCCATCAGGAGCCGACCTGTCTCGTCGTCGGAGAAGCCAATGGTGCGGATATCCCTCCAGGGACGGCTTCTCCACGCCGATGAAGCCAGCGCGGCTCACACTGTCGGCGGCGGCTTAAGCGCCGAGCAAGCCATCGCGTGGAACCTCTTTCCTCCTGTCCACACTGGAAGTTTCAACATAAGGAAACCTGTAACATAAGTGAATAAATTTTTGTGATATGATTCGAGATTACTTACTCATTACTATACCCATCTCTTACAATCGCACTTTTATCTCCATTGAGTGATCGTCCTCTACTATTTTTTAAGTCCCCACGAGCAGACAATTGCTTTTGGGCCGAAGAAGAAGCTGCAGTAGATTTTCGGCTACTTGAAACTTCTTTACAAGGACTAATGGATCGAGACTTTGAGTGGCGTTCAAAAACTCTCCCTGATGAATTGGATACTTTTGCTGGTATAGGTTTCTGATCAAATTTGGAAGCAAAATTCTGGTTCAGGACAACATCAGTAGGAAAATTCGGGGCTTTAATGACAGAAGAACTATCTGAATCAGAAGAAGAGGGACTAGTGGCGCTCTCCATATCATAAATAACGTTATCTATCATAAGCGGCAGCTGACTGTCATCTGAGTTACTGGCACAGAAAGAGGGTCGACGAAGTCTTGTAAGTTGCACAACCTGCAGTCAATTATGAAAGACATAGTTATGCATTAAGCATTTAAAATTTTTAGATAAGAAATCCTTATTGTTTTGCACTGCTTTGAGAGCTTACAGCAATGTAATGTAAACTTCTATTACGTTGTACATTATTATAATTTACATTTCAGGGTTGTCTTCTTATTATGCAACAACAATGTAATGTAAACTTCTATTACGTTGTACATTATTATAATTTACATTCTAGAGTTGTCTTCTTATTATGCAATACATCAAAGACTGGTGCATATCAAATTTTTTATATATATCAGCATCTTACCTTTTGTTCTAGAACCACCAAGTCCTTCTTTAGTTTTGAAATTGTTGTATTCTTCCTTCGTATAATGTCTTCTAATTCAGTAATCCTCTGGTTTGAATAACAGTGGGAGTGATGAGTTAATTAAGATAAAACAAAAAAAGACACAATCATACAAATTATAATCTTCAAGAACAAATGTAGATCAGTATTACCTTGCAATTAGCAACCTCGGTTGAGTTCAACAAGGTGATTAGCCCCTTTATTGTAGTATCCTTCTCTTCACAGTCCCTCCTAAGATTATAAGTATCTTGTTCTACAGCCAAGTTGTTTAACTGAGGATAACAAAAGGCATAACAAAAGTATCCAAAACATTACGAATGTAAAAGTACATTTGCAACTAATACCCAGAAATGATGGAACTAACAAAAATTGCAAAAAAGAAAATGGCAAAAAAGGTAGCCAGAAAGTAGAACTATAACAACATAACAATACAATTTTGCAAGTACAATTAATCATGTACAACAATATACACAATAAAAATTTACTATTAATTATCCTGGATTCAATTAAAATCAAGGTTGCGGAATGAAAGCAAGCTGAAAAAATGTCTGATGAGTTATCATATTCATTCATGAGAACCCCATTTGCTCAACTTAACTTGAGTCAAAGCAGTTGGATTTATAATGCACTTTTGTTAGAAAAAAAAATATTAAAATTGCATAGCCCATCTACTAAGATCAGCTTTATGGTAAGAGTTAGAATAGTATATATGATGTTATAAATTTTAATGTTTATATGACTATTATACACACAAAAAATAAATCAAAATCAAAATCACATAGCTTTAGAAAAACCTTCCAAAAACCACTTTTTCAAAAGACTTAAAAAGAAAAACCTCAAACACGTTACTTCTTGTACATGGCTTGAAAAAGTGAACATTTATAAAGAGTGCATGTCGTATGCAACCAAATGTGGACACCACTCAAAATTGAGGTTATAAAAATCAAATTAAACCACTTGAAACTAGTATTAAATCTAATTGTAATGATGGTGACATGATTTAAATATAAGACTATGCATACTATTAAAAAAATTTATAAAAAATAAAATAAAAAATCAATCAAATTGAAAAAAGAAAGAAAAAAAACATTTTTTTATTACAATTCGGTTCAGTTCTGATTTTTTTAATTCATATCGTTAACATTGAACTGCATCTTTACTATATTTATATCATTATGAATAGTATTTCGAACATTTGATAATGATAGTATGTATTAGATATTTTGGTTATATCAAGCTATGGATGGACGTCATTAAGAATGTATGATTAATAAACTATGAATGACCTATAATACAGTCTTTTTATAAGAAGTTTGTAATGTAGTTCTTTTTGTTGTTATTATTGAAATTTGTAATGTAGATATTATCAATAATGCGTGTGGTCTTTCAATTGCTCTATAACTCTATTGCTTGTAGTTATGTGAGTATAATTTTCAAGGACTGATCATAAATCACATGGTATTAAATTTTGTTTTGTTTCAATGGTGTCAAATTGAAAACAAAATTATCATCCAATTACTTAAAAGCAAACAAATAAATAAATAAATAAATTTGCAAGCCATATAAAAAATGAACTCAAATTTTGAAAAACCACCAAACAATCCTAACGCGTTTAACCTAGGATAGTAACAAAGACCAGTCTAAAAAAATAGTACCTGGATATCAGCAGAAGATGTAACACTGGAAGTCCAATTTGACATGTCAGACATCCTTCGCTCCTCTTGATCTTCATTAGGCCCCTGTTTGCTTCCACTGATTTACTATTCACGACGAAGGAAAGGCGAAGAAAATGGGTGTTTGTTTCCGGTGATTTGCAACGACGGAAAGGCAAAGAAAAGGGGGAGAAGCGTCGTTGCCGTCCTCGCACAAAAGCGAAGAAAAGAGAAGAAAGCCACGTAAGATTTGTGAAAACCCGAAAATGCTCCTGTCCCATGCATGCGTACCGTGCCATGCAACAGAGGAATCATATACAAATTTAGAACGGCCCGTTCTAATTTGAGAACGACCCGTTCTGATCTGAGAACGGGCCGTTCTGGGTATCAAATTTAGACATGGAAAATGATTTTTTAATATTATTTTCATTTTTATTAATAATATTATTATTATTTATTATAATTAGTATCATTATTATTTATTATGATTCTTATTATTTTTCTAATATTTATTATTATTTTTATCATTATTTATTATTTTTTTAATAAATTATACCTATTAATATAATTTTATTGTAATTATTATTATTTACAATAAATAATATTATACTCATTTTTAATCCAAGGGTAAAAGTGTAAATTATATATTCATCTATTAAATTTTTATTTTTTATCTATCATTAAATTTAAAGCAAATATTTAAATTAATTTATTTTTAAATTAATATTTTATAATTTTTTTTAGTTAAAATTTATATATTTATCTTTTAATTATAATAATTATAAACTTTTTTTTAATCTAAGGGCAAAATAGTAATCTTACAGAATTATCAATTAAAAAATTTATTTTTATCTATCACATCAATCCATTCATTCACAAACTTTCTCTACACTTTTCACTCACTTTCCGTTAATCCAAACAACCTCACTTTCCCTTCAAATCCCTCCTTTTTCACTCCCCATTTTCCATCCTCAAATCCAAACAAACCCTAGAGAAGGGAGTCTTATAAGCTCCTCACTTGCACCAGAGCTTCTTCCAACAGAGGCACACTACAAAGAAAGCCAAGTGAACACATCGTAAACGTAAACTTACAGCATTACGATTGCACACCACCAACAGTAAGCACCAACCAAAATTCTCACCATTAATTCACCAAAGTATGCATAGTGTTGTTCACAATGCCAACAACCACAATCAACAAACTTAATTTTCTCGGTACCAAAAACTTCACTCGATTGCAATTCCATGTCCTTCTCAGAAGCCTTATTAGTCGATTGCTCTTTGAAATTGTTAACCATCTTGCAAAGACTGTCCAGCTTCTGCTGCATGCTCGATAGCGCCTGGTCCTGTCAAAAAGTCACAAATAATTAAAACCTAAAATCAGATTCATTCATAAAGGAGAATTAACACACCAAAAGCATTAAAAGAGATAGTGCATAATAATAATGATAACATATTACAGATCGCACATATTAGATTTGAGTATTAATCAATTAATTTTAGAAGCGTAAACGGTAACGGTTTCGAACGAGTACCCTGAGTTCAACGCACTTCTTGAGGTGGCATATCTGAAGGTCTTTCCGGGAGCGTGCGACGGTGGCGCCGATGACGGCGACAATGAGGAAGCGGTGGATGGGAGGAAAGAGGTTCCACGCGATGGCTTGCTCGGCGCTTAAGCCACCGACGGTGCGAGCCGCGCTGGCTACGTCGGCGTGGAGAAGCCGTCCCTGGAGGGATATCCGCGCCATTGGCTTCTCCGACGACGAGACAGGGCGGCTCCGCTCCATGAAGCTCGTGAAAGGCAGCGGCGAGAGGTGGAGTGTGCGGACACAGATATGAACCACGGCGGTGACGTCACCGTCCATTAAAGCGTGATTGAATCGATATGCAGCAGCGTTTGGGAGTTTATACGCAGTAGCGTTTGGGAGTTTGCTATTTTACGGTGGCATTAATTCAAACATTTGAAATTGAGAGGGAATGAGGCATGGTGTAGTGTGGTGCAGTAGAGGACAAAATGTTGAAACCGTGAATGGTGTGGATGAGGACAGAAACAAGTCTTGCACCCCCAAATATTTTTCTTTCAAATCTATGTCCTTTCATTAACCTATTTGTCTTGTGTATAATGTTTTTTTAAATGTAGAAGGATATTTTATATATTAAAATATTAATGGTCAATCTTATAAAAGGCATTCTTATCATAATAACTTAAAAATATTTACAAAAGTAATATAAAAGTTACCTTCTCATTAAGCACTGACATATCAATATTAGAGGGATTGTTATACTACTACAACAATTATAGAAATATTATAGGTTAAATCTCCATTTAATTTTTCCAACAATAGTGTTAGTCATAAAATATATCCTTGATGTTGATGTTGTTGGTTAAGAATTTTTAATTCATGATTTATCTTATTATGCGACTTTCATAATTTCATATGGCCTGGTGATCAATTTCATTAAAATTGTAAAAAAGAAAAAAAAACGTATTAGCCTTTTTTTTTGTATTAAAATAAAGAAGAATAAAAAAGTAAACACAATACAAATAATAATAAAATATAAAAAATAAATATAAACATACTATATAAAATAAACAACACAATATTATGATATATCATTTAATATATTAATTGATTTTATATTGAATATTTATATTTATTAGATAAAAAGTATATTTAACAATAAAATTTATATTTATTAGATGAAAATCATAGTGTATATATATATATACATATATTTTTCATACAATAAATCAATAAATTTTACAATATTAAAATATCAAATTTAGCTTTACTAGTGTATTAAGAAAAGAGAAAAACATTTTAAGAAGGAAATAAAAAATAAAAATGCTTGTATATTTATATTTATTGTATAAAAATACATTAAATAATAAATTATATGATTAATTTATTTAAAATTTAATCTTTCTTATTAATCAAAACTATTATTTATTAATTTTAAACTAGATTAATATTAGATAAAGAACTTTAAAAAAATAATTAACTCGAACAATAATATTATATATAATATAATATTTAATTTAAAAAGAAAATATTAAGTAGTTCAAATGGTACAAATTATACTGATATTTATAAGTTGTAGTCCTGCAATAACAGTCATCTAATAGTCAACTAATGAATGGAGACTAAAATTACGTAATTTAAGAAATTAAAAGCCAAAAATTTATAATTACAAGTAGAGAAATTAAAATTGTTACTTTAATTATAGGAGGACTTAAAAATCTAACTTAGTCTAGGATATCATATACACTAAAAATATTTATCACTCACTCGCGTAAAAGAAGGATTTAATTTCCTTTTCTGGTAGTATAGAAATCCACTTAAAATTTTAATGAATGTCTAAAAGCCTTTAAAGTAGTGCAACAAAAATTAAATGCTTTTTTTTTAATGATTACATTTTAAATTCTTATTGTGAAAGAGATTTAATTTAATATATATACACATTAATAATTTTAGGGTTTGAAAATTTTGACCATTGATGATTGAAGAGTTTGAAAAATTGAATTAATTAAGGAATGTTTGGGCTAAAATTTAAATTCAATTATGTTAAATGAATTAGCTGTAAAAACATTTATTAAATAATAAATATTTAAAAATACATTTAGTATTAAAATATTTTTAAATATATTTTTATAAAAAAATAATTTTAAAATATTTTTTGCCCGCATAATCCTAAATTCACATTCTAAAAAGTACGTGTTGACTAGATTATCAATTATTAACATTAATTTTATCAATACATTAAAAGAAATTATATTTCACAGGTTTATTTAGTTGTATATATTATACCTCGCCATTTATATTGAAAATCTTGTCAATCAACACATATTTTTTAAATAATATTTTTTTAATTTAATTTTATCTTTATAACTTATTAAAATAGTTCAAAATTTATAATCATTAATTATTCAATGATATTTCAAATAAATTATTTTACTATTTATTTAAAATAAAAATAGTGTCTCTTTTACACTACTATACATAATACTAAGTATATATATTTTTTGACTATTAAATAATAAAAATTAAGTTTTTTTTTCTATTTTAAAAGATTGACCATTAATATTTTAATATATAAAATATCCTTTATATTTAAAATAAAAAATAAAATAAATAAATAAATAAATAAAAAACCCTCTCCAAAAAAAAAAAACATTATACACAAGAAAAATAGGGTAATGAAAGGACATAGATTTGAAAGAAAAATATTTGGGGGTGCAAGACTTGTTTCTGTCCTCATCCACACCATTCACGGTTTCAACATTTTGTCCTCTACTGCACCACACCACACCATGCCTCGTTCCCTCTCAATTTCAAATGTTTGAATTAATACCACCGTAAAACGCATACCCCCGAACGCTGCTTATCGATTTAATCAGGACGGCGACGCCATCGCCATGCCACCGCCGTGGTTCGTATCCGTGTCCGCACACACCACCTCCCGCCGCCGCCTCTCCACGAGCTTCGTGGAGCGGAGCCGCCCTGTCTCGTCGTCGGAGAAGCCAATGGCGCGGATATCCCTTCAGGGACGGCTTCTCTACGCCCACGAAGCCAGCGCGGCTCGCACCGTCGGCGGCGGCTTAAGCGCCGAGCAAGCCATCGCTTGGAACCTCTTTCCTCCCGTCCACCGCTTTCTCATTGTCGCCGTCATTGGGGCCGCTGTCGCACGCTCCCGGAAAGACCTTCAGATTTGTCACCTCAAGAAGTGTGTTGAACTCAGGGTACTGGTTCGAAACCGTTACTGTTTACACTTCCGAAATTAATTGATTAATACTCAAATCTATTATGTGTGATCTGTAATATGTTATCATTATTATTATGCACTATTTTTTGTAATGCTTTTGGTGCGTTAATTATTTTTTATGAATGAATCTGATTTTAGGTTTTAATTATTTGTGACTTTTTGACAGGATAAGGTGCTATCGAGCATGCAGCAGAAGCTGGCCAGTCTTTGCGAGATGGTTAACAATTCTAAAGAGCAATCGACTAATGAGGCTTCTGAGAAGGACGGGGAATTGCGATCGAGTGAAGCTTTTGGTACTGAGAAAATTAAGTTTGTTGATTGTGGTTGTTGGCATTGTGAACAGCACTCTGCATACTTTGGTGAATTAATGGTGAGAATTTTGGTTGGTGCTTACTGTTGGTGGTGGGCAATCGTAATGCTGTAAGTGTATGTTTACGATGTGTTCACTTGGCTTTCTTTGTAGTGTGCCTCTGTTGGAAGAAGCTCTGATGCAAGTGAGGAGCTACAGTATAAGACTCCCTTCTCTAATGAAGATCAAGAGGAGCGAAGGATGTCTGACATGTCAGATTGGGCTTCCAGTGTTACATCTTCTGCTGATATCCAGGTACTGTTTTTTTCAGACTCGTCTTTGTTACTGTCCTGGGTCAAACGCTTGCGTTAGGATTGTTTGGTGATTTTTCAAAATTTGAGTTCATTTTTTATATGACTTGCGAATTTATTTATTTATTTGTTTGTTTTAAGTAATTGGATGATAATTCTGTTTTCAATTTGACACCATTGAAACAAAACAAAATTTAATATCATGTGGTTTATGATCAGTCCTCGAAAATTATACTCACATAACTACAAGCAATAGAGTTATAGAGCAATTGAAAGACCACACGCATTATTGATAATATCTACATTACAAATTTCAATAATAACAACAAAAAGAACTACATTACAAACTTCTTATAAAAAAACTGTATTATAGGCCATTCATAGTCTACTAATCATACATTCTTAATGACGTCCATCTATAGTTTAATATAACCAAAATATTTAATACATATTATCATTAACAAATGTTGGAAATACTATTACATAATGATATAAATATAGTAAAGATGCAGTTCAATGTTAACAATATGAATTAAAAAAATCAGAACTGAACCGAATTGTAATAAATAAAAATGTCTTTTTTCTTTCTTTTTTCGATTTGATTGATTTTTTATTTTATTTTTTATAAATTTGTTTAATAGTATGCAGAGTCTTATATTTAAATATGTCACCATCGTTATAATTAGATTTAATACTAGTTTCAAGCGGTTTAATTTGATTTTTATAACCTCAATTTTGAGTGGTGTCCACATTTGGTTGCATACGACATGTACTTTTTATAAATGTTCACTTTTTTAAGCCATGTACAAGAAGTAACATGTTTGAGGTTTTTCTTTTTAGGTCTTTTGAAAAAGTGATTTTTGGAAGGTTTTTCTAAGGCTATGTGATTTTGATTTTGATTTATTTTTTGTGTGTATAATAGTCATATAAAAACATTAAAATTTATAACTTCATATATACTATTCTAACTCTTACCATAAAGCTGATCTTAGTAGTTCGGCTATGCAATTTTAATATATATTTTTTTTAACAAAAGTGCATTATAAATCCGACTGCTTTGACTCAAGTTAAGTTGAGCAAATGGGGTTCTCATGAATGAATATGATAACTCATCAGACATTTTTCCAGTTTGTTTTCATTCCGCAACCTTGATTTTAACTGAATCTAGGATAATTAATAGTAAATTTTTACTGTGTATATTGTTGTACATGATTAATTGTACTTGCAGAATTATATTGTTATGTTGTCCTAGTTCTACTTTCTGGCTACCTTTTTTGCCATTTTCTTTTTTGCAATTTTTGTTAGTTCCATCATTTCTGAATATTAGTTGTAAAAGTACTTTTACTTTCGTAATGTTTTGGATACCTTTGTCATTATCCTCAGTTAAACAACTTGGCTGTAGGACAAGATACTTAGAATCTTAGGAGGGGCTGTGAAGAGAAGGATGCTACAATAAAGGAGCTAACCACCCTGTTGAACTCAACCGAGGTTGCTAATTGTAAGGTAATACTGATCTACATTTGTTCTTGAAGATTATAATTTGTATGATTGTGTCTTTTTTTGTTTTATCTTAATTAACTCATCACTCTCACTGTTATTCAAACTAGAGAATTACTGAATTAGAAGACATTATACGGAGGAAGAGTATAACAATTTTAAAACTAAAGAAGGACTTGGTGGTTCTAGAACAAAAGGTAAGATGCTGATATATATAAAAAATTTAGTATGCACCAGTCTTTGATGTATTGCATAATAAGAAGACAACCCTGGAATGTAAATTATAATAATGTACAACGTAATAGAAGTTTACATTACATTGCTGTAAGCTCTCAAAGCAGTGCAAAACAAGAAGGATTTCTTATCTACAAATATTAAATGCTTAATGCATAACTATGTCTTTCACAATTGACTGCAGGTTGTGCAACTTACAAGACTTCGTCGACCCTCTTTCTGTGCTAGTAGCTCAGATGACAGTCAGCTGCCGCTTATGATAGATAACGTTATTTATGATATGGAGAGCGCCACTAGTCCCTCTTCTTCTGATTCAGATAGCTCTTCTGTCATTAACCTGCTGATGTTGTCCTGAACCAGAATTGTGCTTCCAAATTTGATCAGAAACCTACACCAGCAAAAGTATCCAACTCATCAGGGAGAGTCTTTGAACGCCACTCAAAGTCTCGATCCATTAGTCCTTGTAAAGAAGTTTCAAGCAGCCGAAAATCTACTGAAGCTTCTTCTTCGGCCCAAAAACAATTGTCTGCTCGTGGGGACTTAAAAAAGAGTAGAAAACGATCACTCAATGGAGATAAGAGTGCAACTGTACATAAGAGATGGGTATAGTAACGAGTAAGTAATCTCGAATCATATCACAAAAATTTATTCACTTATGTTACAGGTTTCCTTATGTTGAAACTAAAGTTTAGGAGCCAAAAATCTTGCATAAAAACTTGAAAATATTTTTCAAAATCAGGAAATTACTTCACATGTTTCCAAAAAAAAAATTATTCCGTGCACCAGCTACAGTCATGGCCCATGAATAAATTCCTTTTTTTTTTTTTCTCTCATTGTATTTTGAATTCGTCTTGTATTAAGAGATTACGTTCATTTCTTCTTGTAGGCTCCTGTGGAATGTGGTCAAGGATACAGGTTGCCCTATGTTCTGCACTTATCCAATGGGATCGAATCGTGTAAAACAGAAGATGGTAAATATTTTATGGGCTTAGCTTACATACTAGTTAAATACTTGAGCTATGCATGTTATGCTTTAGATGATAAATTACAGATCGCAGCGACATGGATATTATTCAAATATAGTTGGTGCTGTCGGACAGATGGTTTATATGTTTTATAATATCTTTGATGGACTATTTTAGTCATTAGATTCTCAGTTGATCTGTTTCTATGGTCTTTCTCTCAAGTGATTCAAGAAACAAACGAACGACACTACAGTTTCTTTTTCTACCATTTCTGTTTGAAGTTTCACCGATTTAAAACTGAAACAAAAATACTGTTAGTATATAATAATAGTTGTCAAGAATAATTGAAGGAATAATAGAAACTTATTTGTATTTAGAGAGTAGTAGTAGTTGTGGTAATTGTTGTTGTTACAATGAAGTTCTAATTTGCTTATTTATAGGCATGATGCTTCATCTCTAGATGATGGTGGAATTATCTAGAATTTTCTAGACTCTACGAATCTCTACACTCTTTTAGATTTTTCTAGAGACTTATACAACTTTTCTTATGATTCTAGAATTTTCTTTTTCTCTTATATGTCTTATCTTATATTTCTAGAATACTCTTTTCTTTTCTAGAATTTGAAGTTTCACCGATTTAAAACTGAAACAAAAATACTATTAGTATATGATAGTTGTCAAGAGAATAGTCGGAGGAATAATAGAAACTTATTTGTATTTAGAGAGTAGTAGTAGTTGTGGTAATTGTTGTTGTTGTTACAATGAAGTTCTAATTTGTCTATTTATAGGCATGATGCTTCATCTCTAGATGATGGTAAAATTATCTAGAATTTTCTAGACTCTACAAATCTCTACACTCTTTTAAATTTTTCTAGAGACTTATACAACTTTTCTTATGATTCTAGAATTTTCTTTTTCTCTTATACATCTTATCTTATATTTCTAGAATACTCTTTTCTTTTCTAGAATTTGCATAATAATTTAACAAATACATATTTCACTGTCACATTCTTATAAAAATTTCATCAAACTTCCATTTCATTCTCTCTATTTTTCCTTTCTTTTTATCAAACCAGTTTCCTTTTTAATCGAATCAATTATATGTTATTTTCTCGATTCATCTGTAAATCACAATTTATGTTATACATAAAATAAATATTTTTAAAATTAAATAATCACTAAAAACATAATAAAATAAGTTGTAGTTGAATGTAGAATTTTAGTTATTAAATTTTTGTTGAAGTCCATGAATGAAAATGACTACATCATCCTTTTCTTTAATTTATTGAAATTATTTATACTAATATTGTAATATTATACACATTTATTTTTTATATTAAAGTTATGAATTGCATCACGATGTTCTCTTGCAAATATCTTTCTTCGTTTTCAGAACCTTCCATGCAGTCAAGTCAGTCCACGTATTATGTACACGCCGTTTCTTTCTGTGCGATTAGTGCTATTCTTTGCGATATTTCTACAGTCAACTCAAATCATTTTCCCAAAGAAATTAGTTTGACCTCCACCAGAAAAACAAAACACGAAAGAAATTATTCTAATTAGTGAAGACAACATTATTCTAATTATAAAATAGGGTGGATGTTAACTTAGGATACTGATTAAAAGAAATAAAAAAAAATTATAATATTAAAAATACAAAAAAGTAGTACATAAAAAGGTTTACTTGGTTCTTGACTGGTCGCGTTAATGTCTAATTTCCATGGTTATCTGAGAAATCACATAACTGATTCCTGTAAAACAGGTTGGCTGGTGTGATCCAGTTTCTAGAAAATCATCTTACTTTGAAATTCCATGAAAGCGAGCATCATGTTCCGACCAAGTCAGACAATTAAGTTCAACAACCAGACCATTAAGAAAGTCAATGAGTGGGAGACAGGGTATCTAATAACATAACAGTTTCTACGAAGTAGAGTAGGTGGTGAAATACAATTTTAAAAAATAATACAGTACATTTTTAGGTGGGTCTAAGTTTGAGAAGGTAGAAAGGTTATACTCATTTTTACATGGTCGGTCGTAGATTTGAAGCTACAACTTTGAATTAGTTGGCAACAATTATGAATCGATTAGGTATCGCCTAAAAATCTAACATGTGGGAGCTTATGTGAATAAAAAAAAAAAACTTATGATTAATAGTAAATTTATATATTAATACTAATTTTGAGTGCGGTTGAGTTGAGTTAATGAAGTACTAATTAACTTGTTACTTCAATTATAAGTTAATTAGTATATGCTCATCTCAATTCAATGAATTAACTCTTGCAATATAATTGGATTGAGCAGATTGATTGAATTTTCGCAGGTGTATCTCATTGTGTTCGCATTCCTTTGAGACAAGATTTGTAACATGTAAATATTAAACTTCATGTATGTTATTCACACTATTGTTTTGTATATATATTTTTTTTGTGAGAAAATATATCTTCTTAATTTAAAATTGGAAGAAAAAAAAATGGATTCAATAGCATTTAACATTTTAGCAATCTGACTTTTTCTGTTTTTAAAAGGTTTAGTGGAACCTAATTTTTTTAGGATCATGATTCTTTTAATAGTTGGTAGATGTGACAAGAACATCCGCATGAAACTCGATATTTTTATGCATATATATATATATATATATATATATATAAAA